ATTTTTGTTGACCTTTGTCCATGGAAGGTCCCTGCAAAATTTCATTGAAATTGGTTCAGGGGTTTTGGAGAAGAAGTCGAAAATGTAAATTGTTTACGGACGCACGACGGACGACGGACGACGGACGACGACGGACAAAAGGCGATCGCAATAGGTCACTTGAGACTTTGTCTCAGGTGACCTAAAAACTGATAAGCACAATTCAAAATATGGATACTCATTTCACACAAGGAAATAAAATATTCACACAGAAAGACAAACAGATGGACAGACAATATAGACTCAACACTCACCTGCTGATGGAGGCAGCCAACACCTGTCCACTCTTGCCCTTTGTTAAGAACTGGATACGATCAATGTCTAACCACATGTGCCAGTTTTTCTCCCCTGCTGTCCCCTGTAGAAATAATTTGAAAGCTTCAATTCCCTTCCGATCTGTCAGTCGAAATGTTTTGTGTTTCTTCCTACGGAAGAACATATCTCTCTCCTCATAGTCATCGTCGCTGTCCAGGAGGGAATCCGCATCACTGTCTTCATCCTTTTTATCCTTGTTTTTGTTTCCTTCTGTCACTGCCTTAACTTCTTTATCCTCTGCTGTTTCTGGAGGGGGAACATTATCTTCTACAAGTGACACACGTTCAAACATATCTAAGGTCAGGTGTCTACAAGAAGACTGTGGTAGATGTTTGATTATATTTGGATCATCTGCTACTTCCGTTTCCTCCCTATTGGTGAGATAGGCTATAGAACGCTTCAGTACTGCTCCAACCAGGGCTGCGCCAAGATCGTCCATGTCACGAAAGACAACGCTCTCTTCACTGGTACTACCTGCAACTCTGTCCTGGACCTCTTCTTCACCAAACGAGTCTCGTGGACCAGACCCTTCCGAGGCTAGATCGAACTTGTCATCTTCAATGCCAAGTCCTGACTCATTATCACCGTCAGCCTCGTACTTAGGTGTGCTGTACACTGTAGCACTAAATGGCCGTGACTTTTTAGATTGTTCGTCCGCCATACAACATATCATTTCAGATGGTCTGGGTGTCATTGGCTTACCGTCTGTTGCAAAAAGTTTGCTAGAATAAACATCCTCGTCTTCGTTTACTGACATTTGTGACAGCTGATAACCCCTCCCCATAGAACTATTCACTGAACCCCGTACAGACACACCCAGTCCACTCTCGGAGTAGTTGTAGCTGTCTATAGCACTGTAGGCACTGACTGGACGTGCACTGTTTGGCCGTTTGACAATGTCAGCAGCGCTGTTAGGGCGTGGCTGTGTGGAGTAAGTAGTATGGGTGGCTGTAGCTCCCTGTGCCATAGTGAACCATGCCTCTGTCTGAGTTGGTAATGCATTCCCTACACACACATACATGTCCTTGATAATCTGTTCCCGTGGGTCGATCACGATCTCTTCCAATTCTTCCTTCTTCACCTTCTGTGCTCGTGGTATGAAGTCAATCCTCTGGAGGACATACTCGCCATGCTCCCCCGTGATTTGGGACTGTGATATAAGTTTGGCAAGTCGGAACTCCAGGTACAGATCACTCTCTAGGAAGGCTGGTAGACGTACTTCCTTCACCCAGTGGATACCCTGCTCCCTGTTCAGGGTCTGAAATATAAAACATACATATCTATAGCTTCACAACATTGTGGTTGGCTATCCAATAGACCAGACTATAGCTATAACAAGCAAGTGAAGCAGAGCCTGACCCCTTGACACCTGAGTTGAAGGAAATCATATATCCTGTAACCCTGTAATATTTTTATGTAAATTGCTTGAAAAACATTTTTATAAATTGATAGGAAGCCATTCAAATTCTGCATATTATATGTTAAACAATCGTATCTAACCAAATCTTGCGGCCTCTCTAACTGGTTTCACTGTTTTTTTCGCAGGCTCACCAATACACTATCAAGTCTGATGTCATCATGCTTCAATCACATATATAGGTAGAGCAAAATATATATCCTCCGCCAGAAATTAGAAGCAGTGTAATCATATCTCAATGACAATGATGATAGCAACATTTCGCCTCTGAATGGGAGGAAGTTCCTTGCAGAATACAAAAGTACAATAACAGATAATCCGTCCAGATGAAGCTGAGGAACAAGAATGGTGGACCTGCACAAAATGTTCCATTTTGGCACCAAAAGCAAAAAAAAAGTGGAAATATCATTATTATACAATATTTGATAAAACACCCTTTTTGTCTAGAATAAGTCATTCTAAGCACTTTACAATGCAAAGATATGCCATTCATAATTTCAATTAATACCATCAATACAATATGAGGACATCACAGGAGCTGTTGCAATGAATGAATTATGTAAACAACATCTTGATTGGTTAACTAATTAAGGTAGATTATGTGACTTTACTTACGGTGACAGTGAAGGTCGTGTTGATTTCCACATTCTCCGGCCCCTCTGGCTCCTCAATAGGAATTAATGGTATATCGATGAAGCTGTGTTTTTTCACGACGCGGTAGATTTTACTGGTGTGTTTCTGAGATCGGATGGCTGCTTTAATCTTTTTGGACAACTCCTTCTTGGCATTGGTGGCCACCTCAAACCCTCCGGTGTCCTTGTTGAAGAACAGAGGCACCGGGAAAGTCTGTAACAATAAACGCATTGTCAATGACATTCAGAATCAAACATCTGTATTTTAAGTTCTTCTGTGATACGATGGATATAACCAATTGTTGATTTGAAGTATGGAAGCAAACATATATCCCTTAATAATATATAGATATAAAATACTTTTAAAATTTGGTTCCTGCTAATTTTAAGTTAAGCTTATTTATCATCATTATCTTGTTGATATATATTAATCTCTACCCCTGTGAAACATGACAAATCTCTGAAAATCAAAGCATTGTGTTTCCCTACCACAAGGTCAATGAAACTTTGTTATGCCAAAATAAAACAGTAATAAAGATGATCAGGTTGACGTGCCATTAATGTCATCTGCTTCAGTCATTCGGAACTCAGTTGTGGTGGAGCTTGTGAAATATTCTAGATTTTTGAATAAGGGAATATGACTGCAAGGGGTAACACGAGCATGTGAGGGCGACACAATGTTTTATTTCCCAGTCATGTGATCAATATAAATGAGATATAATAATATATTTACGGTTACCCATTATGATAGGTGATAATTTCACACAACTTACAGAGTTATTTCATGGAGTATTAATTGGTTTAAAATCCAATCTTGGTGGGTTTACTGTACCAGGGACACTAAATTTCTATGCGAAGATTTTGGAGGAATTAAATACTTTGCAAAGGGTAGAGAAACATTAAATTTAGTCTACCATGTATACAGAAGTAAATACAGAGGTATACTAAATATCATGTATTACATTTTGATTAAATTGATTTACAGATCTAACCTCCGACCAGATTGGCAGATGAAGGGATCACTGTTACATTTGTCCGGGATATAATCAAAGTTAACAATAAGTGGGGGTTTTGTGATGTTTTTGACAAATGCTTCAAAGAATTTGGATAAAATGTAATGATGAAAACAGGAATTTAAGTATAATTAACCCACACAAGGCATTTATGTTTGATATTTACAGAAGTACTCCCAACAGACAATGTTTAGTACTTACTGGTAAGGCCAGGAAGGTATTGAAGCTATTCCACACAGACAATGTTTAGTACTTACTGGTAAGGCCAGGAAGGTATCGAAGTATTTCACACAGACAATGTTTAGTACTTACTGGTAAGGCCAGGAAGGTAAAGAAGTATACCACACAGACAATGTTTAGTACTTACTTGTAAGGCCAGGAAGGTATAGAAGTATACCACACAGACAATGTTTAGTACTTACTGGTAAGGCCCGGAAGGTATAGAAGTATTTCACACAGACACTGTTTAGTACTTACTGGTAAGGCCAGGAAGGTATAGAAGTATTCCACACGGACAATGTTTAGTACTTACTGGTAAGGCCAGGAAGGTATAGAAGTATCCCACACAGACAATGTTTAGTACTTACTGGTATAAGGCCAGGAAGGTATAGAAGTATTCCACACAGACAATGTTTAGTACTTACTGGTAAGGCTAGGAAGGTATAGAAGTACTCCACTCAGACAATGTTAAGTACTTACTGGTAAGGCCAGGAAGGTGTAGAAGTATACCACACAGACAATGTTTAGTACTTACTGGTAAGGCCAGGAAGGTATAGAAGTATTCCATACAGACAATGTTTAGTACATGTGCTTACTGGTAAGGCCAGGAAGGGATAGAAGGATTCACACAGACACTGTTTAGTACATGTACTTACTGGTAAGGCCAGGAAGGTATAGAAGTATTCCACACAGACAATGTTTAGTACATGTACTTACTGGTAAGGCCAGGAAGGTATAGAAGTATTCACACAGACACTGTTTAGTACATGTACTTACTGGTAAGGCCAGGAAGGTATTGAAGTATTCCACAAATAGTTCATCTGTAGCCAAGAAGTCCTCCTGTAAAAATGAAAATTATTGTAAAAACCAATAAAAACTGGGTACATATTACCAGCTTATAAAAGCTTTGAAACATTCAGTCAAATCTGGATCTTTGGAGCTCACCATACAAACAAGACATGCCACTTAATTATTTGTGTTCTAAGTTTAACATCTCTATATAGCGCTAGACAGGTACTTTGTGAGACACCACCGAAAAAAAGGGGGAGTATTAAGAAGTAAAAGGTTCCTAGTGTTGTCGGGGGCAGCAGATCTATTTTGGTCTCTTCAACATCTCCTAAGCGAAAGACAAAGAAGTAAAACTCCAATTATGCAGTGGGCCCATATCAGTCACACATCTGAAAGGTTATAATGTAGACAAAGTGATCATCAGGGCCTGATAACCTGATAACCTGATAACGACAAATTAACACAAACCTTTCATCAAGTAGATTACCCTTCTTAAAGTATCCAAAACGATTGTCCATACAAAAGAATTATGAAAATATTTGTAATTTTTTGGATAATTACCAAAATTCTAAATTTGAAACTTTGTAAAAATGACTCTTTAATCTTATCAGACTTTGAACATAACTGGGTTCTGACATTAATTTTGTATCAGTCTGGGTCAAGTGCTAAAGAACCAAATAGCTCAGTTAACAGACTGTCTGGAGCCAAGAGGTTCATGGTTCAAATCCCGGATATTAGCCTGATGCATTATCGTATTAAGAACTGGTACCTGTGACTAACACAGACCTTGTTGGATATACTTAACCCTGGCTTATTTACTTTAATGGACATTGTCTCACCTGAGCTATCTGGTCACTGACAAGTCAACCCACCGTCTAGATCTGCAATAATACTTTCCCCTCCAAAGTTTCTGCCCCTAAAAATACCCTGTGTACAACCCTGGTTTAGATGTATCACTCAGCTCATCACATTCAGTACTTAACTGTTAAATAGATGGTCACAAAATCACCAGTTTGTAATAGGAATGGGAAACTTATAGGCCATAATGATGTAGGAATTTGTACCTGAACCCAAAATGTACATGTGCCAACCAATTGAGGAAGATATGTTGGTTATTGAAAAAAAAAAAGATAAATATTTTACTCTTTGTTTCTGGAAATGAGCTGAACAAACCGAAGCTCTTCTTCATTGGAGTTACAATACAGAGTACTGGGACACTCCACCTTAAGACACCCAGGTCATCTACCCAGATCAGATTTGCTACAGTGTTAATGACTATATAAACAGGGTTCTATCGATATCCCTTATTGCCATAGGCTGCTGCAGTCCCATATTACCTCCCTATAAGATTTGTACAGTAAAACCTGTCTAAACTGGCCCCTGTCTAATCTGGATCACTGTCTATATAGACTCTGGTCCTTGCATTTCTCCTCTTTAATCATAGTTATGTGAACCCTCTCTAATTCAGACCCTGCCCACTCAAAACAAATTTGCATTTGTTTTTCTAATGTAGATATCTAAGCAATGCCTATACAAGTTCATTCTGGCCTTTTCCCATTTACCCGGTCTGATATCCCTGCAAAAGTGTTTTTCTGGACCAAAAATACATGATTTGTTCACCTTTATTGTAGATTACCATAAATAATAAAACATCAAAAATAAAATGTTTCCTATGAGTTCTTCTATTTCATGTCAGTTCTGCATTTCAAACAACTTACACACAAACTTGCATATATGCATGTATTCAAATTTTGATACATAAAATGTCACAGACTGTGTACAAATATTTTGGAGCCAAATCATATCTACCGTAGTTTAGGCAGGTAACTTTGTAGCTGTGTAACCCCATTACATATATACCTAACCACCTCAAACTCCTGTACACTTCAATATAATACTAGTAATTTGAAACCTATTCAACATAAACTTGACTGTACAGAAATTGTAAAACATGTATGCACATACATTATCAAAGTTTGAAGTGTGCTACACAAGGGCATTACAAAATCTCTTCAGTCATTCTTATCAAACTTCTGATGTAGGAAAAACAATCACATATGTTTTAATTTAAATGATTTGATCCATAATTAGACTTTATAAGATCGTTCTAAAGACTGACTTAGAATGATATCTATAACGGGAAGTCACAAAGCTGATTGTAATCGAGGCTAGAATGACTGGTAGTTATAAGGCAGTAGATCACAGACCCCGTACTTAAATGTGTACATGTCTTATATGGAACTGTCACAAAGCTAACACACACACACACCTCCCTTTCTCACTGAATATATAGATATGAAATACTTTTAAAATTTGGTTCCAGCTAATTTTAAGTTAAGCTTATTTATCATCATTATCTTGTTGATATATATTAATCTCTACCCCTGTGAAACATGACAAATCTCTGAAAATCAAAGCATTGTGTTTCTCTACCACGAGGGCACTGAATACTTTATTATGCCAAAATAAAACAATAACACAGTAACGCAGACGATCAGGTTGGTGCTCCATTGTTATTATCTGCCTCAGTCATTCGGAACACAGTTGTGGTGGGGCTTGTGAAATTTTCTCGAATTTCTGAATAAGGGAAATATATGACTGCAAGGGGAAACTCGAGCTGTGAGGGCGACACAATGTTTTATTTCCCAGTCATGTGATCAATATAATCCAATAAAACACTCTATTATATAGATGAGATATAATAATATATAACATATACCTATTATGATTTAAGATAATTTCACACAACCTAAGGAATAATTTTTATTGAGTAATAATTGGTTTAAAATCCAATCTTGGTGGGTTTACTGTCCTTTCTCACTGAATATCAGAATCTTTCCCCATTTTGGGGGTTAAGACAGTAAAATCAAAACCCAAAAGGTTAGAATTCTAAAGAGCCCGAAGCCTGGACAAAATGATTGTATATTCAAAACTATAGCCAAGAGGGTTTATATTTTCGTTTCCAGCAGGGAATAATTAGTTAAACAAAAATTGTTTTGGCAGAAGAACTGATTTCTGATAGAATTAATAAGTCCTGTTTAATTTTTGACTTCCGTTTAGCAATGTTTGAACCTCCATGCTAAATATAACCATTCGGATAGTTAAGTCCAAAACAGATCAAAAATAAATCATTATGTTTGTGACTGTATTACATCAACATTAGGTCTGAGGAGATCTCAAACCGGCATGCCAAATATCACCATCCTTAGCACAAATAATGAAGGTTTTGTATAGGAATTTCAACATTTGTACAGAACTTTTAGTTAAAGAATCCCCCTACCACTGCCAAAAACTGTGACTAAGTATTGGGGTCAGTGTTTCCTGGAATGATTGTAGCTGTGATAAATCAGTTTTTATCATTGCAGGACTTAAACAAATTATAATCAATATGGGCGGATTGGTAGAGTCGTTTACAGTCTGGTCTTCCACGAAGGCGGCCAGGGTTTGATCCCTGAAGTCGTCGTACGCATGGAATATTCAGAGAAAGTGTTTCTCTCCTGCCCACACAACTCTATAAAATGGTCTTGGGTGGATGTTACAGTATTTGTGCTGTAGCATTCAAGTGAGGTGGCACTATAAAGGATACCATTGGAAGCACGATCCCAATATATACAAACAGAACACAATACATCTCCAGCATACACGCAGGCATACACACATAGGGAGTTATTAGCAAGGTGGCATAGGACTAGTAGTGAGCGCCTGATAAGGCAGCTCCTGCGAATTCCTCAAAATTGTATTGATTAATGTATATGCTAATTGTATTGATTGTATAAATTGTATATCTTTGTACTGTAAAGCGCATTAGAGTGGCTTTTTCTAGCTAGATAGGGTGCTATATCAAATGATGTATATTATTAGTTTAACAGTTTTGTAAGTGTGAAAAAAACCACAGCAGGGCTAGATCTGAATTCCATCCCTGAACTTCAGACTGTTAGACTATCACTCTAACTGATTGAGTGATCTGGTAGAAGGAAGTGTCCTGGCAGAAGTTAAGGGGAGGTTACAGCACAGAGCAGTGGGACAGGCATCCTTAATGTGACACCAACACAAAATGGGGAGATAATTACAAACAGTGACAATTAATTACTGTGATATCAGTCTTTTTCTGGTTAAATGTTGTCTACAATTATCTACATAAGGGTTGATGGAGAAATCACAGACAGTTTAAAATTGGAGCCAAATCTATGATGCCAACAGTAAGTAGGGAGAACTTACTTTCACCCACCCCTCAAAGATGTGTCTTCAAATGAAAATATCAGCTTAGACACTTCTTTGGGGGGATAGAAATGCGTAGGTATAGGCATTATCATGGCTACTTTCCATTTTTCTTGAAATCATTCTCTTCTTCCAATCTAAGTGTTCTTGTCACCTCAAATCACTTCCATCTTCTGTCAGATCTCCCTCCATTGGTAATAATATCATTATAATCCTTTGATGTCCTTTAAATCACTATAACACACCTATCTTATCATTTCCCATTTCCTACAATGATTTACTCTCCCTTTATCCCGTTAAGTTATCCCCATATCCCCCCCCCCCCCCCCCCCCCCCCCAATCAAACAATCAAATTGTCCTCCCATTCTATCCATCAAATCACTGACCCAATCCAATTACATTATATTTCCCACCAAATCAATCTATTTCTAATAAAAACATGCCAATATTCTCCATCTTATATCAAAATCACCTGCCCTCTCCAATGTTACCATCTTTTCTCTCCCATTAAATCATCCATTATCCCTATCAAATCACCGTTCCATGAAAACACCCTCTCTCTGTCCCATTAAATCACCTCCGTTTAAGTCAATAAAAAGTTAACTTATCCTTGTAGCAGGTTCTATTTCATGGGACCGTGTAATAGTTTTATCTATAAAAATTGTACCAACTTCTAATTAAAGTGCTCCCTGTATCGTCACACTGACAGAGCCTCAAGCGGTCATGCAAGGGGTGATGCTTTTCACACCAAAGGTATAAAGTTGTAAGGATAAACATGTAATTCAATTTGTAGAAGACATTGATTTGTCAGTGACTATAGACAGACAAGACTT